GCCCGGGACGGCGCGGCGGCGGCAGCGCGCACAGCCAGCGGGGCGCGCGTGGGGGCTGGGTGGGGGTCAGATGCAGCAGGTGGGTGACGAACATGGTCTCCAGCAGGCCGGCCACCATCAGGGACAGACTCAGGGCGAAGTAGACGCCTGCGGGAAGAGCAGCTTGGCGTCGGACTTGGCTCACAGCCCCTTCCCAGATGCAGTCTGTCCTCCCGGACCCCTGTTGGCTCCCCGCCGCCTTTGCTTCCTCGGAGAGAGCAAGGGGCCCTACTGATGAGGGGGCTGCCGCCGAAGGGGAGTAAGTCGTTCATCAGGAGCAGGAAGACATTGTAGCCCAGCAGCAGGGCCATCCTGAAGGGGGCGCGGTGCACGTTTTCTGCAGGCAGGTAGGAGCTGAGGGCGTCGATGGCCACCAGGAAGCCGCTGGGGACGAGGAGGTGTAGGACGTAGAGCCGGGGCCTGCGCCGGATGGCCACCTGGTGGGAGCAGAGGGAGAGAAGTAAATATGGGATGTGCAGGAAATCCGGAATCCAGCAATAACAGTTCACGGCTGGGACTTGGAGTGACTGTTTCTTTTTCCAGCGTCTGCTGTCCCCGGGGCTCTGGAGTGGTGGGGAGTGCAGCACCCTGGTATGGAACCCAGAGAGAGAGGGAGAGAGAGACAGATAGATGAGAGAGAGAGGGACAGACAGACAGGGACGCAGAGTGAGACAGACAGAGGCAGAGAGACAGACAGACAGACAGAGATGCAGACAGAGACAGGGAGAGGGAGAGAGAGAGTTAGCTGCCCCATGAGCCTTGTGGAGGAGAGGGAGCTGGGCAGCCAGCAGAGGCGGGTCTGGCCTTGGCCGGAGGGAGTAAGACTGAGACACCTGCTCGGTGGGGATTCTAGGCAAGAAGAGAAGCAAAGAAGAGATCAAAAAGCAAAGCCCCGGGAGCTCACATAGAACATGATCTCATCATGCAAACTGGCTCCCACAGACATCTTTGGAGTGGCCTTGGTGATGCTCAAGAGCTCCTGTTCCCCGCGGACCTGACCCACGTTCTGTGAGGCAGCTGCTATTTGCCACACTTCTTTCTCCACGCCCAGCAACAAGGTATCCACTGAAAGGGAGAACCATCCCGATCTTTGTCCAAGGACACAACCTGGAAACGGGGCTCTACTGCACTGTGTTTGCACACTTTCATTCAATAGATATCCTGGGGGTATCCGCTGTGTGCTAGGAATTTTCTAGGAGTTGGGGCAGATGACGAACCAGACATAGTCGGATCCTTTGTGGAAAATATTTAAGCATCCACAGAGCTTGACTCTCTGCTCAGGGTGTGTTTATATTTTGATTTCTATTGCTTTGTTCCTTGCTCTCACTAGCAGTCTTCCTCCCCGTGACAGGGGCCAGGCACCCCGTGCCTGCACCTTACCTGTGTAGAGGTGTGAGCGGAAGGTGAGCGTGCAGTTTTGCTGGTCAAAGGAGAAGTAGAAGATGTCCAGGTTGCAGAGACTGGCCACCTTCATGGGTTTCTTCTACCTGGTGTGACCTTCATTACTTACAAATGCTGTGAGGCCTCTGGGGGTTTTCTCCACTTCTGTGCTACGGGAGAGATGAAGTGGTAGGCAGGTGCTGTGATTTTTCTTATCATTTTGGTTAGTTCTTTGCCATCTAAGGAGCATCTACAGCCGTACCACCATCTACAGCCGTACCACCCTCAACATGCCCGATCTTGTCTTTGCCGTCGAAGACCACTTCTAGCGGCCCCAGTGATCAATGGTAAACGCTACTGGTATTAGGAGATGGGCTTCCCTGCTGGTTCTCCACAGCCCTTAATACACACAACTCAAGGATGAAAATGTCCGGGAGCCACAGGTTCCTGGCTGCCACATCCATCTTGGCGATGCCCTCACACTCCTCCGGGTGCCAGCGGAGCAGGGGGTTATCCCAGACCTAGACAGAGCCCAGGAGGAAGAGAGGTGGTAGCTTGAGACGCACTGGGGTTATTTTCTCCTAGCCTTTGATTTTTTTTTTTTCCCCTTTAAAAGTCAAGAAAATAAAAAAGTTCCTAAAATAACATAATAAACATCCGTGAATCTACCACCCAGACTGTGGAGTCTCCATATGTTGCTATGTTTATTTTTTCTTCCAAGAAATTTACTTTTCTTCCAAGAAATTTCTTCCAGAATGGTAACTGAAGTTCAACCTCTCTGTATGTGTTTCTTTATAAAATTGTCTCTGCTAGGGCTGGGGACGCGGCTCAGTGAAAGGCATTGCATGGCATACACAAGGCCACAGGGCCAGCCTTTGGCACCACAAAACAAAAAAAAACTCACAAAATCCGGTGCCTTTGCTTTCGTACTTCTGTGGGAAATTGCTAATGACCAGGAATGACCTCTCCTTTTTGCAGTAGGAATGAGAATCAGAGTTGAACAGTCTGTAACTCAGCCTCTTTGAGCTAGAATTTCCTTCATGTGACATAAGAGGAGTAGTGGGTATCAGGTGGAATAGGGTGCACAGAACGATTTTGCAAACTGTAATGTCGTTTGAGGGTCTAACAAGGGCTTCAGTGTCTCCCAGGGACATTTTACCGGCCTTTATTGCAAGGAGACTTTGAACAAGTCCTTAGGTTCTTGGAAGCCAAGAGCCCTAGCTCTCATTTCTGTGGCTGGAAACCCTCTCTGAAAGATGGTTTCAAGGACTGTCCAACTCAGGGTGGGATTGTCTAGTCTCAGGGTGCTTGCAGTGTTAGCAGCGGCAGTTTGTGGAGCTGCAGATAGCCTGGGGCTCAGAGTATATTAAATAAAGGTTTGTATATGGTCAGTGTTTTTCAAACATCTCTGTGCATACAAACACCTGGTGATCATGATGAACTGCAATTCCAATTCAGTAGGTAAGATGACTAACTAATTCTGGTTTGCTAGGTACTTGCTTGGCTTAATATTGTACATACATGCCCTGTGAACTCTACAGTTTGGGGCAGGTTGGGAAAGCTGGTCACCCTAGATGGAGCTTGAAATCCAGTACATTTCTTGGGGCTGAAACCCAGGGTTTTTTTTTTTTTTGTTGTTGTTGTTTTGTTTTATTTTTTGAGACAGGGTCTTGCTCTGCAGTTTGGGCTGGGCTTGAACTCATTGTGTAGCCCAGGCTGGCCTCAAACTCATGGCAATCCTCCTGCCTCAGCCTCCTAAATGCTGGGATTACAGGCATGCGCCATCATGCCTGGCTCTCCAGGGCATTTCTAATAAGCTTCTAGGTGATGCAGTGAGCCAGTGCTGTGGGTGTGGGAACTTGGAAGACAAGGTTCAGGACTGATACTGTCTGTCCCCAGCTCCTTCCTTCCTTCCAATCAGGCTTTCCAAACTGGAAATGGAAATTTAATTCAGTGAGCTTCATTTTCCACCCTCCCATTTTGTTTTCTACTCTATTCACTTAAGATGTAAAATTTCAAGGTAGAAAGGATGGTAGAGAAATGGGAAAAAAAACCCAAAACAACAACACTAGTTATGTCATGTACAGACATAAATTCTCTCTGATGAATGTGATCATTTTATGTATATCTAAAATGTACCAATAATCTCATTTAAAAAGATGTGAAACTTCCACTAAGTTAAGTGTTGGCTACATTTCATAGATTTTCATATGTAGTGCTCTTTGTTTCTAAATAGTTATAACTTCTATTGAGTTGTTTTATTTTCTCCTTAGCTCAAAATATTTGGAAGTTTAATTCTAAATTCCCAAGAAATAAGGTTTTCTTGGTGGGGAGGCTATCCTTTTGTAATTAGTTTCTATTGTCTTATTGTCAGAGAGTGCGACCTAAATAATTTCTTTTTCCATTTTTTTCTTGGTTTCTTGTGGCTTTTGTTTGTTTGTTTTGCTTTGCTTTGCTTTGTGAGACAAGGGTTTTACTATGTAGCCCAAGGTGTCCTCAGACTCATGATCCTCCTGCCTCAGCCTCTCAAGTAACTGGGATCATAGGCTTATAGCATTGTGCCCAACTCTATTTTATTTTATTTTATTTTATTTTGGTACTGAGAATTGAACTCAAGACCTTGCACTTGCCAGGCAAGTGCTGTGCTGCTGAGCTATATTCCTGGCCCTTATTTTTTATTTTTTTATGTCTAATTTTTTAAAGAGAAAAAAATAAAACAAAATTTCAAAACAAGATAATAGGAGAGTAACGATGGTTAATACACTGTGTATTGTTATCTTTAAATTAGTTACTCAGAATACAAGGTATCAGCATTTAATTGTCTGAACAATATTAACACAAACCTTTTTTTTAGTGAACTAAGAGAAATTAGTAGTATAACTATCTTTTTCTATTTGACTTTTAAAAGCAACATATGGAAACCTCTCAGCATTATTACAGGTATTTCAGTTTCTCCTTCCTGTGTTCTGAAACTATATCATCAGGTGCATAAAGGGGCATAATTACTGTATCCTTGTTCAAAATCTTTCCCAAGTCTGTGAAGAGAGAGAATAAAGGCTGACCATACCATTTCTAGCCACAGGAATGAGGTCATCAGCTGCAGCTGTTCATCCTGTGGAAAGAATTTCCTGTTTCCAGCAAGCTGCCTATAAGAAGTCGGCCCACTCCCCCACCCTATCCACCTCCCTATTTTTGTTTATTAACTCCCTGGAATGTAAAGGTGACGCCGTGACCAAGGCCAATATTATAGGTCAAGGACAAAAGCTTGCTCAGAATAGATCTATTAGGCTGTGGGCAGGAAAGTACCCTGCACAATAGAGTAAGGTAGTGCTTCTTAAGCCTGGGTCCATCTTGGAACAACATGAGGGGCCAAAAAATATGAATAAGTGGACTCCAGCCAGTCAGGAGCTGGGGGAGTGTGGCGGGTCCTATACACTGGTAGGTAGCAGCCACTGGGCAGGAAGAACAGTCCCTCCCATGTGCTGTTGTGTCTCACCCTGACGGGGGGCAAAGAGTTTGGTTGTTTTCAGATTCTCTATGCAGAGGAAAAGGCACATAATAATGTGGTGAAAGGGCTGGGGATTTAGCTCAGCGGCAAAGCGCCTGCCTGGCAAGCGCAAGGTCGTGAGTTCGGTTCCCAATACTGGAGAAAAACCAAAAAAAAAAAAAAATGTGGTGAAGGACTTGGGGTTTGGCTTGCCAGAGGCTGGGAAAACACTAGGACACCAAGGGGGACCAAGGGTCACCACTCACCACATCTAGGATGGCGGTTATCGTGAAGGAGATGTTGACCTGGATGGGGACCGCAAAGCTGATGACTGGAGGGAAGGACATTCTGCCAAAACCAGAATCCAGAATGGCTGGATTTGCCCCATGCTCGCCAAATCCTGAGCAGTTGATGGTGAAAGAATGGCCTTGTCCTGCAGTGGGCAGCAAGTGTGTGAGGTTATTCTACGCAGCTAAGTTAGATGACAGTATCAAGTCAGAGAGCGACAGGGCCCTCAAGGAAGTCAACACAAAAAACAGACATCAGAATCATGGCTGGAGGTACATCTGAAGAAGGCCCGGCCTCAAGATGGAGAAGCAGGGGCTGGGGATTTAGCTCAGCGGCACAGCACCTGCCTGGCAAGTGCAAGGTTGTGAGTTCAATTCCTGGTACTGTAAAACAAAACAAAACAAAACAAATCAAAACATGGAGACACGATGGCCAGGCCTATCTGTCCCTCTAAAGGATAAACGAGAGCTCAAGATTATTCTGTAATCAGCACTACCTGGTCCAGGAAGTCCACATAGGTCTCCGTCGCCCAGGCGGGTGACCAGAACACCTGGACCCCTCCCTTCCCCCAATGCCTTTGTTCTTTCCATGTACCCTCGCTATATGACTTGTTTTCTACTGGGTCAGTGTTAGCTAAGTAGCTGTACTTGTAATCTTATAGGTCGATAGTAGTTTAACCCAAGCTTTATACATGCTGTGACTTTGCTGTATAGATTATCCCTGACAAAGGGCCTTGGTGGCTATACCACTGGGCAGCTCTCCTAGAAATCCAGGAGCTATTCTTTTTCTTATTTCCAGTAAAACTCTCTTAATTTGTTCCTTTGGCTTGTAACTTCATTCCTCTGTGTCGTAGGACCGCAAACTCGGTACGTTTGACACCTAGCAGGTTGGGAGTGATATTTTTCCTATATCAAGATGAGGGAGAGAATGCCTGGGCTCTCTGTATGGCAGAGCCCCTGCTAACGACGAGAGCTGACATGCATCAGCTGTGGCTAGGTGTATTCCGAGTGCTTTAAACAGATTACCTATTTCAATTCTCCCAATCCCCTATTACATATTGTTTGAAAAATAACTTCATAACATATTTTATTTCCAGTTGTATGTCATTGCTACATTTACCAACAATTGCTTTTTAAAAAAATATTTGTCTGGTTCTTATGGGATATAGTGTGACATTTCAATACAGGTATACAGTGCACGATGATCAGATCAAAGTAATAGCATATGCATCACTCTAGACATTTTTTATTCTTTCTTCACGTTGGGAACATTCAAAATCCTCTCTACTGGTCTACTGGCTATCATTAAATATATAATTCATTGTTGTCTCACAGTGGTATAGAGCATCAAAAGTCACTCCCAGGGTCCAGTTGCACCCCTAACCGCATTCACCATCCTCTCTGCCCCTCCCCGATCTCCGCCCGGGCTCCGGTACCCTGTATTCTATCCCCTACTTCATGAGGAGGTAAATACTATTTTTATTCTCATGTAATAAGTGAGTTCATACCAAGGTGCCAGAGGAAGGAACTTCCCAAGGCCAGAGAGAGAAGAGGCAGCGTGGGACCTGGTCTGAGTCAGGTTTGTCAGCAGCTGTGCTGCTTGGCCCTGGAGGAGCCGGGTCGGGGATGGGCTCACTGCGGAGGTCCTGGAGCTGGGCACTTCCTGCCAGGGCCAAGGAGAATGGGCTGGGCTGGAAGGCAAATAACGGAAGCTCCTGCGGTGAGCCGAGTTAGGTCATCCGCCTACTTCTAATACTTCCTCTCTGGGCTTTGCATGCCCAGATTTGTATGCAAACTGAGCCCTGGGGCAGGGACAGGCCTCAGATGGGATCACAGCCCCGAGACCCCAAAGAGTCACACCTGTGTTCATCTGGACGGACCGACCTTCCTTCTTTCCTGTTTTGCTGCTCAGCCCTCCCAGCTTTCTCAAGGCTTTTGAGGTGTTGCCTGCCCCCCTGTTCTGATGAATACAGGTTCCAAGTTTCTACCACTGGGAACGTGTTGGAGGAGCCACAGCCCGGAACGAGAGAGATGGTTGGTGACCTCCACACCAAGGACATCGGGCCTTATCCACTCCCAGACTCACTGGGCTCCCCAGACCGATCCATGCATCTGCATATTCGTCAATCAGTCTCTCCAAGTGCCCAGCGAGCCTTTTATTTGTCCTTAGTTCCTAGGCTCTGTACTGACCTCCAAGGCCACCTCTGGTTCAGACTTCTTCTGTGCTCCCTTATCAGGAAGTCATGAGATGACCTAAGGGGAAGGGATGACATATTTTTGGTCCCTATCAAAACCTGGCACTGAGCCAGGCGTGGCGATGCATGCCTATAATCTCAGCACTTGGGAGGCTGAGGCAGGAGGATCACTGTGAGTTCTTGAGTTTGAGTTCGAGACCAGCCTGGGTTGCACAGTGAGTTCGAGGTCAGCCTGAACTACAAGCAAGACCTTATCTCAACAAACAAACAAACAAAACCTGGCACTGTACAGCATCCTCTTTCTCATTAAATGCCCACAAACCTGCACGGTGGAGAAACTGGAGCTCAGGGAAGTTAAGAAATTCACAAAGATCACACAGCTAGCAAAGCGAGGGACCAAGATTCCAACCCAGACCCATCTGTCTCCAAATCCCATGTTCTTTCCACTGTAAATGTTACCCTGCTAGAAGAGAAGACCACTCTGCCTTCACCCTCAGGGCACTGGCCCCTGGCGTCTCGCTTACCCCAGAACATCTGGATCTAGTGGAGCCATGGGGCAGTTATGGCTAAAGTAGCCCGGCACGTTGCTACAACGAGGTGGCCCTCCTAGTGCAGCAGAATTATGCTGGTGGGGAGAAAGGTGGATGGACCGGAGGCTGAGAGGAGGAGAAGACAACTGTGGGTGGCACAGCGGGGGGGAGAGAGCAGTGCTCCTGCGCGGCCTCTAACCGGAGGGCACTGCCCACGTTTCCAAGATGGAAATCTGCGCATCACGATCTTATCTTATGCAACAGCCCTGTCTGCCTCAGACCATCTCTACGCATGGGAAATTGGAAAGAAGTTCCTCGATGACCTGCCGGAGGGAATTCTTCCCTTCTCATGGTCCCCTCCTTACCTTGAAGCAGAAGATGGAGAACAAGGTAGAAGGGGACTCTGTCCCTGGGGAAGCGGCTCCCTCCCATCTTCTTGGTCTAAATTCTCCGCTGAGCCTGTGCCCGGAGCCGGGATACCCGGATCAGGGGAGCCCGGGCCACACCTGGGGCCCCACTTTGAATACTGAGAGGCTGGCTGACCACTGACGGTTGCAGCCCGTCTGAGAGGGGTGTTCTCGCCTCTGCTCGTGGGTCAGTTTGCTTTTCAGACTTTCTGTCAGTCTTAGCTACTTCTTTGTGGTGGGTTCAGTTGTTGACACTCTGAGGCGATCATTTTTAAACTTCGGCATGATCCTGATCTGAACAGTCATCTCTGCAGTTATGAAACGTTTCCAGCCATTAAGGAATATTGTACTTCTTCTATTTATTCTCTTATTAGACAGAATAAGAATAGCTTTCTTCTGTTTCACATGCCTTTTAATCTCTTGTTATTAGTTGCTGATTACAGCTGTAAAAAGTTATAAACTGGGCCAAGGATATAGCTTAGCAGTACAAGCACCTGCCTGGCAAGTGCAAGGTCCTGAGTTCGATTCCTGCTACAAAAAAAGAAAGTTCTATAAAAGTTATAAACTTAGTGGCTTAAAGAAACACAATTTATTACTTCCCAGTTCTGTAAGCCAGAGGTCTGAAATGGTCCACAAGGTTAAAATCAGTGCCATCAGGACTGCATTTCTTCTGGTGGCTCTAGGGAGAATCCTTTCCCTCAACTTTCCTTTCCTTTTCTTTTTTTTTTCCTGTCTTTTTGAGACAAGGTCTCACTCTGAAGTTCAGGCTGGCCTTGAGCTCACCTTGTAGCTCAGGCTGTCCTCAAACTTGCAATGATCCTCCTGCCTCAGTCTCCCAAGTACTGGGATTACAGGCGTACGCCACCACGCCTGGCTTCACCTCTATTTTCAAGTTTTTTAAGGCTGTGTCTATTCCTCCATCTTCAAAAAAAGTTACTTGAAAGTTTTAGTTTTAAAATCCAAATTCACTTGAATGTAAATGACAAGACTGGTCTAATTTTGTGCAGTAGAGAGCAAAAAATAAGGTAAGTCTGCCTTTTGCATTATGCCTTTTACGTATTTCAGGACAATTATGGTTTTTTTTGTTTTTTGGTTTTTCTTTTTTTTCTCCGGTACCGGGAACCGAACTCACGACCTTGTGCTTGCCAGGCAGGCGCTTTTGCCGCTGAGCTAAATCCCCAGCCCTCAGGACAATTATGTAACATGGAGTAATAGTTTAAAATATGAAACCTACGGAAGTTTTCGCCCTCATGTGCCTGCTCCGTCTCCCCGTATGCCAGTCTTCTCTGTAAGTCTTCTGTTAAAAGCCTGCAGGAGGGGAAAATGCTGCCCCTAGAAGGATATGACTTATGGACAATTTCTGATGCACACTGAACTAAATCCCGTTCCATCTGGCTCGACAGAATTTGGGACAAAGGAGAGATGAGAAAGAGGAAGGGAAGGAAGTAGGTGATTTCACTTGTGTATAACACAACACACACTTTTGACTCTGTGCTTAAGTCTGAGGGCATATTTGTGTGTGTGTATGTGTGTTGGCAGGGGCTCGATTTGTCAGGAGAAAAATCTAGGCATGGTGGTACACGCCCGTAATCTTAGCATTTGGGAGGCCGAGACAGGAAGAGCACTGTGAGTTTGAGACCAGCTTGGTCAACATAGTGAATTCAAGGCCAGCCTGAACTACATAGGAAGATCCTGTCTCAAAAAAAAAAAAGAAGAAGAAAAAAGAAAAGAAGAGAAGGACGAAAGCTTCATTTGGTACCCTATGAAGGGATGCCGTGCTCTGAGGCCTCAAATTAATATGGCAAAGCCGCTGGAGAGTAGAAGCAGAGGTGCAGAGAGCTTAGGCAGAGAGGGCCGGGCTTACATGCTTTCACCTCCCTCCTCCCCACCGTGTGTCCTGCCTGGAAGTGGGGGTGAAGGCTGCACGTAGGCCCACTCACCTGAAGCCACTCTGCAGCGAGGCAGTGCAGGGGACAGTCGAGGCCGGCAGGAGACCCTGGGAGAGGCAGCAGAGGTGGTTGCTGAGGTGGAACCAATCCAGGGAGGGAAATCAGAGCCAAGAGTCAGAATGAGACCGACCCAGGGGCCGACTCTGAGCAGCAGCTATCAGCAGGGCGCCCAGGAGACAAGGGCCATCGCATGGGACAAGAGAATTGGGAGGGCTCACAGGGACCCGCACACGCCAGTCAGAGGTCTCTGTGCCACTGCCACAGGCTCCACACCCCCCCACCGCCACCACTTTGAGAAGCTAATGAAAGCTAGACACTTTCTCACATGTATGGCGATTTCAACAGTTTTTGTGCTTAAACCCTACCCTGAGTACCCATTACTACTTTGAGAACCCAATGGCGGAAAAGCGGTGCTTCATCCAGCTGCTGAAAACTGCATAGGTGCTAAATTTTGTGTAAAGTGTCAGCAGTTTCACAGGCCATGGACTCCAGTTTAAGAACCTCTTCTCAGAATCAGTTGAGAAACCATATTTAAACCAGGTGTGATAGTGCAAGACCATCATCCCAGCACTTGGGAGGCTGAGGCAGGAGTATCGGTTTGAGTTCAAGCCTGACCTACCGAATAAATTCAAGGCTAGCCTGAACTACATTAGTGATACCCTGTCTCAACAAAACAAAACATTTAAAAAGCAAATGGAAAGAAAAAAAAGTGCGCTGCCACTGAAGGACCGGGGATATAGCTCAGCGGCACAAGTGCCTGCCTGGCAAGTGTAAGGTCCTGAGTTTGATTCCTGGTACAAAAAAAAAGCAAATGGGCTTATTTAGGTGAATTTATTGGGCTCAGTGAATTAGCAATTGCTATGCTGTGCTGTTTTTAAGCTCTCTGTTTAGGGTTCTATTTAAGAGGCCTGATCAAACTTTGTCAGTCTAATTTCTTTTTTTAATTTTTTCATTTTTGAGTGTCTCACCATGTAGCCCAGGCTGCCCTTGAACTTGCAGTGATCCTCCTGCTTCAGCTTCCCGAGTGCTGGCTGGGATTACAGGTATGTGCCACCATGCCCGGCAAGTCTAAGTTTTTGAAATCAATCTTTTTCTCCAATTTTAAGAATCAAGAAAATGTTTCATACATTCATCAAATACCTCTCCTTTCCTCTGATTTTGGGAACATTACTAACTATAGTTCTGAGATTACACAGGCAAGGTCTTAACCTCTGAGGGAACTCATTTAGACTTGGAGATGTAGAATCACAAGTTAGCTGCACATCCTTTCCTCTCTCCTTATATTTGTTGGTATTAAATTCTCTTGGTCACATCTCTTTTTTTGCATATCCCTCTCTAAGCCACCTAATTATTCTACTTAGTGGAAAAGGCAAAAATCTTTTCCCTAAGAACGAATCCTTCTTTGTACATACTCTGTCCTGAACATACCAAGACAATATAGAGGGAGAAAGACTGAACTTGGAACCAGAAGACATGGATTCAAATCTTGTTTCTATCATATGCTATTTAATTTTCAGGCAATCTCTTAAATGTGAGCGCTTTGGCGCATCCGCCGTATGGGGACCATTAACACAGGTTTTCGATGGTGATTAAAAGAGATAACATCTGAAAAACAAAGTCAGCGCAGTGCTGGGCATTTCCTCGGTAATGGGTGTTTCCTTCTTCGCTGCTGTGCTGCTCTCAGGCATCAGCGCATCTTGGCCACTGTCCCGCCCACGCCGCTCTCTCAGGTTCATCTTTCTGTCCTTGTATGTGAGTCCTTGCTTCTCTCTTTTGCATAAAGCCACCCGGCTTTTAAGCCCATGAAGCACCGGAGCTATTGGGTAACGAGCCTAAGAGGGTTCTCCTGGCCTGGTAATGCTTTAGATGTGGGGGGAAATGTTTGGCTCGAAAATATCAAAAGAAAACTGCCAAGTAAAAAAAATCAATAAATATTTGTTTAAATGTCAAAAAACTGGAACATTGTCAGCCAGTTCAACTCTCACACAGTTAGAAATAGGCCCACAAGTCTTTATCCATAACTCTGCAATTCAGAAGGTTCTGACAATGAAATTATTTCCTCCTCCTCCTTTCCTTCTCCTTCCTCCTCCTCTTTTCTTCTTTTCCTCATTGTCACGCCAGCTTATTTAGAACCACAATGAAACCTGAACTAACACAAAGCTGTTTATGCTCTGTACTTATTTGCCTTACTGAGAATATTCATACTTTTTGGGTGGAAATAAGATGGTTTCTTTCGGTTTCGGCTACAGTCCCACACCACGTGGAAGTATCGCATGGTGAATACAGTGGTAATGCAGCCCATTATATTTCTCAAATCTGAAAAGTTCTGAATTCCTGGGGCATATCTGCCCAAGGGGATCAGACAAAGGATTGTATCCGTGGGTAAAAAATATGTGAGACAGGAATATCTTTTCATATTTTTGTTATAATGTGTGGGGGTGAGATCCTACAGCTGTGCTTGTGGCCTACACAGGCTATACGAGGAGGTTAAGCCAAGTGGGTGGCATATCCCTGTAATCCAGCACTCTGGGAGGCTGAGGCAGGAGGAGGATTGCAAGCTTGAACTTACACTGGGCAACGTAGTGATATCTTATCTCAAAATAAAGAATGAAAAAGGCCTGGGATATAGCTCAGTGCAGAGGCCCTCAGTTAAATTCCCAGTGAAACACACACACACACACACACACACACACACATACACACACACACACAGGCACACACATGTATGCACGACATTAAAATGTCCTCAAGTGCCCAAAGCATGGAAAGTGATTTTTAAGAGGTTCATATCCTTTTGAGATGACCTCTGATTAAACCATGCATGAAAAGATACTCAGCATCATCAGTCACTAGGGAAATACAAATTAAAACCACAGTAAGATACCATTTGATTCCCACAGAATGGCTATAATAAGTGAGATAGACAATAACCAATGTGTGTGAGGATACGGAGAAATTGGAAGTGTCTTATGTTGCTAGTGGGAATGTAAAAATGGTGGAGACACTTTGTAATGCGCCTTGGAAATTCTTCAAAGAATTATAAACTACCAGACAATCCAGAAATGTTACTCCTAGGTATCAACAGAGAGGATAAGATCCCTCCTCTCTGCTCAACGGAGGGAAAAGTATACACAGAAAGATTTGCGCATGCGTGTTCATGTGACATTGTTCATGTTCTGGAACAACTTAGTTCTAGTGTGCGGGGTCCGAACCCAAAGTGCTGTGAGACCAAAGAAAAAGAGGCAAGCAGATTGTGAATTGCATTGTGCCACTTTTAGGGTATTTACGGGCAGAAGCTTGGGCCTGGGAAGCAGCAAGACCATACCTGAGGGATCCAAGTGCCAGGGGGATCCTTGGAATTTGGGAAAGGAAGACGGAGGTGGGGGGGGTATATGAAAAAGGGAAAGTGACTGCATCTAAACCAGAACACACCTGGTTTACCTTAAGCTAATATCAGAGTCAGGCATATTCCTGGCTCCAGGGTCTGGTTACAAAGCGTCACATTCCACTCTCGAAGCTTTTGTCTATTTATATTTTTTTTCTGAAGCTAGGGTTACTCTAGCACAATCATGGCAGTTATGGCTCAAGATGGCCGCTGTCCTGTCAGGCAGGCCTGTCCTGTACAGTTTATAGTAACCTGCATCTGGAAACAGTATCCATCAGATGGCAAGCGCAGAGACCAAATGTGACACATGCATATAATGGAACACTATCCAGCAACAACAGGAATGAACTTACGGATGTACGTGACATCACACAGGCACCCTTAAATCATCATGTTACAATAAACAAGAGATTACACATCGTCTCATTCCACTCAGACGGAATGTCTGGGAAAGGTAAATCCAGAGAAACGGAACGTAGATTCGTGATTGTCTAGGCCTGAGTGTGGCACATGGATGAGTTATAAATGGGCATGGGGGATCTTATTAGAGGAAAGGAAATTTTCCCAAACTGATGTACGCAGTCACTGCAATGTTCAATAAAGTTACTAAAAAAAAAAATCACTGAATTGTACACTTGAAATAGGTGAATTTTATGATATTAAAATACCTCAAAGTTTTTTTAAAGTGCTTCTTAATGGTATAGAGGGAAAAATGAAGAGGGGGTAGTTAAGGTGTACAAGGGTAGAATTGGGTAGGAAGAATTGTAATGTTCTACAGCCCAGCAAGATAGCTATGATTGACAGCAAATGATTTAATATTTGAAAATAGCTAGGAGGGGGGATTTTGAGTGTTCTCAACACAAAGAAATGACAAATGTCTGAAGTAATAGACATGCCAAGTACCCTGATCTGATCATTACACCTTGTATATGCATATTGAAATGTCAGCTGGGTGTGGTGGTGCACACCTGTAATCCCAGCACTCGGGAGGCTGAGGCAGGAGGATCGTCGTGAGTTTGAGACCAGCCTGGGCTACAAAGTGAGCCCAAGGCCAGCCTGAACTGCATAGCAAGACCCTGCCTCAAAAAGACAAAAAAAAAGAAATGTCATACTACACTATATCAGTATGTACAAGTATTATGTCAACTGAAAATTAAAAATAATTTTTAGAAATGTGTCTTAGTCTAAGAGATATAATGAATTGACATTTACAGTGAAAGATGCAACAATCTTCTCGATATATTTTTCTTTAAACTGACTGAAGCCTCAGTTTCCTAATCTGCCAAGGGTGTTTAATAATTATACCTACCAACTTGGGAGACTGAGGTAGGAGGATCACTGCAAGTTCGAGACCAACTTGGGCTACAAAGTGAGTTCAAGACCAGCCAGAACTGCATAGCAAGAGCCTGTCTCAAAAAGACCAAAATAATAATAATAATAATAATTGTACCTACTCTCCAGGTTAGTGTGATGATTAAATGAGATAAACTTGTGAAGTATTTAGCACAGGGCCAGGAGCAAAATAAAAAAATGAATAAATATTTGGGGTAGAAAAAGCGTTGTGTTTCCATGACAAACTATGCATCATTTATAGTATGTCCATTAGGGCTGTCTGCTTCTAGCCCTGATTATCGTTTCAGAGTTTTTCAACTCTTTTTAAAGTGGTAGCGGGCTGATAGATGTGTGAATTCTGTCTTGTCTGGTAGAGATTTAGTTGACTTCCTTTTCCTCTGTGGGAAAAAAAAAATCAATTTCGTCTCCATTTGCAATTCATCTCAACATTCTTTCACTGCACATAAATCTGTGGTCTTCTGTTTTTTTTCTCTTGAACTGATTATAACATCTGGTTGGTTCCTTCCTATTATAGGAGTAAAACAAAATCTTTAACATGTGTTCACCTTTCTATCTGTATAAGAGTTACGATTTTACTTTTCTCTGAACTCATTTTTTTTCCTTTTTTAAAAAAATTGAGACAGGATCTCGCTATGCAGTTCAGATTGGCCTTGAACTCACTATGTAGCCCAGGCTGGCCTTGAACTCACAGTGATCCTCCTGCCTCAGCCTCCTGAGTGCTGAGATTATAGCTGTGCACCACCATGTCTAACAAAAACAATTTTTTAACAGTGTGCAGGGTGGGTGTCTCCAGCAAGATGCCCAATGGGTTCACTTATCAGCCAAATAAAATTTCATCAACCTCTCAGCCAGCTTAAGTCTGGGTTGTTTTTTGCTTGACTACCAGTGGGGGACTTCATCATCATTGCTTTTCCAAATTTAATTTTTCTATCTGTTTCTAATTTTTCTATTTTTTTTTGTCATAGCTGTTGTTTTGGTGCTTTTGTCTTGAACTGGACCAGGGCTTTGCAAATGCTGAGCAAATGCTTTACTGCGGAGCTGTATCCCCAGCCCTTTTAATTTTTTAAAGAAATATACATAATTTTATTACAAATATTTTTTTAACCACAAAATGCAACATCCTAAAAAACACCCCAAAACTTAACTATTTGTACTAGTTCCTGCAAATTTGTTGTGCTACCATACACATGAAAAGAACTATTAAATGTTTAGGAATATTTAACATCCAAAGCTTCAAAATCTAACTGTATGTAGTAGCCCCTCAAAAAGCTACAACGTGAATTTTTTTTTTGTCTTTTTGAGACAGGGCCTCACTATGCAGTTCAGGCTGGCCTTGGGCTCACTTTGTAGCCCAGGATGGCCTCGAACTCGAAACAATCCTCCTGCCTCAGCCTCTGGAGTGCTGGGGTTACAGGCGTGCCTCACCATGCTGGGTTTAACTGCTTTTTTGTTCATATGGTTGTTTATCTTTGGCTGACTTCTCAGACCACATTTCACGCAGTTGTTTTTGCAGTGTCTCCAATGGACAGGCCTGGGGGTTCACTTTTGATCTCTGGGTGATGTTCAGAGCAAAACAGGGAGAGGGCAGATGGTAGACTTTTAGGAGCATCGGGTTCTTTCTTCTTTCCTCTCTTATCACCACCTTTGGGAGGAACGTAATTTTTCATCTCCCTGTCATAGCGAGCTTTATCACTCTTTGCCATATCTTCAAATTTCGACTTTTCCTTGGCAGACATGGTCTTCCATCTCTCCTTGGAGAACTCGGGGAAGCTGACCCAGGAGTTGGGGTGCTTCTTCTTGTGCTCCTCGCGGCAGGTCTGCATGAAGAAAGCGAATGAGGACGTCTTGCCCCGCGGCTTCTTGGGGTCTCCCCGCCCATAGCGGCGCGGCCCGAGGGGGTCTGAGGAGTTTCTCACCTGGTGTGAGCTTTTCCTCAGAGTGTCGCAGAGCAGCCGAGTCCCACTGAGACACTTCCTTCCTAGACTCCGGCGTGAACTGGTTTTCTAATTTTTTAAATTATTGTTTTGAGGCAAGATCTCGCTAAGGTGCCCAGCCTCACTTTGAACTTGTGATTCTCCTGCTTCAGCCTCCTGAGTAGCTGGGTGTACAGATAGGTTCCACTGCACTCAGCTATTTTTGGTTTGTTTATAGCTGGCAAAATATTCTGTATTGGACATCTGATTTGATGGTGTGACAGTTTGGTGATATATGGAAATGGATCAGTGGTTTATAGATATCTTGTCCCTGTTGGGTGAAGGATGGTAGATTCTGGTGTATTAGTCTTTTCTGTTTGTTTATCCATTGTTTATTTCAAGCTCAATCGGTTAATATACACTGCAGAGAACACCTCTATGGGTAGCACTGAGTTTGGTAATCCTGTGTTTATTCTTGACCTGTGGCTGAGATCTTACACCTTAAGTTGTCAGTTCTCTGTTCGGTTGTGTTTATGTCTGTAATTCAGAGAGGCCTTTACCTCTCATTGTGTAAAAATGGAATGTTTTCTGTGGTGTTAGTAACATGGATTGGGAAGGAACTCT